ATTGAGAAATCGTAGGCTTTTGTTGCCTGTTGTATGTTAGCGTCTTTTGGACGTTTATCTCGGAAGGGATAAGATAGATGGGAATGAAGGGAGTACCACCATGGAAATAGGGCAAGAATGAAATTCTTTGTCTCCTTTTTTTTTTCTCTTTTCAATGCTGGAAGTCGAGCTTTTATTCTAACAAGTGTATTGTATCCTTGTGTATGGTTTCCTACGAGGACTGCGCGTATTATTCTACAGTATGATTGCCACCAACGTCTTTCTTACAAGACCAAAGATTACGCGATAAAAGTTTGGCTGCAGATTCCTCTAGTAACGAGAGCCCAAGTATACTCCCATATCTCGCGTTGACATGCCATGTAGAGAGGGAAAGAAAGAGACTTGATAATTTCCATAATCATAACCGTACTTGTTCACTAAATAGGAATATAAGGAAACCGAACCACAATACCTATTACTTGAGCGAGCCCGTAAACGCTCCTTTGCCGACAAGAGGAGAAAAAACAAAAGAAGAGAACAAATATGAAAAGACAAGAGACGAGCAGTTAAGAAAAGTCTCTCAAAAGACTTTGTATGATTTGCATTTGAAATCTGCCGCCTTTTTACTTTTTGCAGCTTTTTCTTTTTTTGCTATTAAAAATGCAGCTGTGGAATTATATCTAACAAGAACACAAAAAAAAGAGGATTGTAACAAAAGACACACGAAAGTTGACAAGAGCGGAGGTAAGGGAAAATAACCAAAAAAAGATCTAGTTAACGCGACAAAAGGGAGAAACAGACGAGCGAGTCGGAGATGATGCATCACAATGCATCGAGTAGGTAGCACCGTGAGAGTATAATAAGAGAGAGGAAGAAAATGCACAAAGGAAACGACAGACCCATACCCACGCCTCTTCAACAAAAACTCCATCTAACCTCTTAGTATGGCGCCTTGCGCACACCAACCTCCTCAACATCCCCGTCCTCCGTATCAGCATCCTCAACACCAATGCTATCCAGGAAGCCCGAGAAATCCGGTTTAGAGGGGCCAAGGACATGTTTGCCTGCGCTGCTCCTTCTCCTGTCTCCGCTCCGGCTCCTGCTGGTTCCGCTCTTGACACTTCGCGCCTTGTTCGTCATGCCGCCGTTTGACGTGGTGCGAGGCCGCGAAGCAAAGTCTCTGGAATGGATCCCACCATTGGCACTTGCCTTGAGGTCTTCTGGGATAGGAGGTACTGGAGGGAGGTTGTCCATGGTATACGTTTGCTCTCGTATTTGCCCGTTTGATTGCGTCGACGCGGCTGTCAGCGGACGAGGTGTCGATGTCGCAGCGGGTGTGGCTGTAGAGTCGGAGTTCTGAAGGTACTGAGAGTCTCCAGCTGGGTGTGTAGTGATGAAGGATGCATCGGAAAGCGAATGTACACTAATGAGCGATTCCGAGGTGGTGGATGCATGGTCAGAAGAGGATTTACGGTGGCGCCGCGATGGAGCGCGAACTGAATAACTTGTCCTGGGTGCTGCACCACTGGAGGTGGATAGAGCGCGCCTCAGGTCGTCGACGCGCACAGTCGAGCGCATAGATGAGGAGCTGTTGGGTGTACCGCCGGGACTGCGACTGCGGTTTGGTGAGGAAAGACGACCTGCCAGACCATAAGCGGCGGATGGGGGTCTGCTCTGCGCTCGCCTGGGACTGGGAGCAGGGGAGCTCGCATTGCTGTCAAGATTTCCGTGTGGAATGTTGACACCAAGAAAGTTATTCTTGGTGTAGTGAGTCCCGGACTTGGACCCAGAGATGGATGCAGATGTAGAGTCTTTGGAGTGGCTTGCCAGGCACTCGTCACGAGACCATCGCGACATGAGATCCTCCCGGACTTTGAATGATAACTCAGGGGGATCCCTAGGCGCCATTGGCTGGACTGGTTGATGGATTGCTGGAATTGAGCCGTTTGCAGCCCCTCCACGGCTAGGCGACCCTGGGGGCGAAGTAGGCGGAGAATGTAGGGAAGTCGAATAACCTTCCGAGATCTTCTCAACAAGTGCTTCTAGATTGTCAAAGGGCCTGAGGGCCTCATTTTGGACAATTTCCGGAGGCACTGCAACCGGTGTTGGGTGTGGCGTTTCAATCAAATCGATGGGCATAGGTGGAACGTTGATGCTCTTCATCCATAGACCCTTCTGGTTTCTACGCGTAATCTCGTTGTGCAGTGCGCGACCGACAGAAGAAACCTCAAAGTCTAGAGCCGCACTGAGTGCCCAGAGGTAGCCATGCACCAGACTCCCTATGCGCAACTTGGCACCGGGATCTTCTATAGTTGTGATATCCTCTTGTAGTCGCATGATCATTGGCAACCCGCTTCTTGCAGCGTTGACGCCTAACCGGTTGACCAAGGTGGTGAGAAGGAGGTGCAGAAGCAAGTAGTCGGCTTCCGAGTCAATGAATTGATGCGCATTTTCATACACAGCCAGATGGAGTAGAGGCAGAAAGGTGTCCTTGCCACGCTTAGATACCCTCTCCCTCGTAGAAGCGTTCGAAACCGCTCGTCTAGACAGTGAATTCTTGTCGTTATCTTTCTCCTTCCGTCTGTAGTTCTCTACAATCTTCAGGTCTTCCTTGTCCTTCTCGGTATTCAGCCAGGTGACTAATGCGTCGACATAAGCCTTTCTGACTCGGCCACTGGGGTCGCGCAGCAGCCACTGTGAGCCTTCCCACACACTGACACCAACCTTGCTTCGCGACACCGAAGCTGGAGAACCGTCCGGTTTCCGCGCGTTTGCCCTCTTCAATATGGCCTTGACAGCGTCGAGAGCCGTGATGCGAGCTGTCTCAAATGAGAAGAACCGGTCAACATGAGTCTTCTCTTGCATGCTGATTGAGTCTGCAACAGCCTCCACAGTGCCTTCAGGGTTCTGTATCGCTTCGGCCGTAGTAGAAATGGCCGAGAGACGCGAGGGCTTGAGGCGACTCAGGATTGCTTCGACCATGTCTGAGATTTGGTCTGTATAGTACACGTGGGTTGCAAGATCTGCCATACATTTCTGTACAGTGTCTAAGAGCTGCAACCTTGCGCCTGAGGGCTTCTTCACGACTTCCATGACGACACCATCCACATTGCTTGCGGATGAGTTCTTACTTTCATCTTTTTCAGACATGATAGAAGTCGTCTGCTGATGATGCGGCAAGATGTTCGATCCTGGCCCACCGAGCTGTAACAGTAATAGAGTGTGCGAGATGAACCCTACCAGCACATCCATGACACTAAGGCCGATGAAGTTGATGGGTGAGGCAAGAAGATAGTCAATGACAGTGGCGAGCACCAGTTGTCGCTCGAGATCCTCCTCCACGATTGGGCTGCGGACCAGGGCTTCAACTGCTCCCACAAGAATCGTGTATCGGTCTTGCACAGGCACCCACACACAGATCATGGCCATGAGCGTCGTTGCCCAGTGACTGCTCTCGCTTGGCGGGACCTCTTGTTGGCTCTTGACGTGTGTGCTTATAAAGTCGAGAACGGCGGATGTCGCCAGCCGGAGCTGACCGCGATTCACCCCTTGGAAGATGCTCCTTAGCGCCTGTAGCGCGAGCACGCCAACCTCCTCTTCAGCCAGTTTGTCCGCGTCTTCGGTTGTTCCGGATGCGGCGATTGGGTCTCCGTCTTCGTCGTCGGTTCGCGCTGTGGATACGCTCTGTCGCCGCCGTGTTGCGGTTTCCTTGTCGTGTTCGCCCTGGGCGGCTTCCCGGATCTCGAGCTGCTTGAGATATGCGCCGGTCTCTGCATGTATGTTTGCGAGTATGACTGGTATAATGACGGCCAGCTGGCGCCCCGTCTCTGACCCCAGTGACTCAGACGAGGCCACGGCCTTGAGCGCCTGCAGGCCAACCTTTCGGTGCCTGATAGCCACAGGCCAGCTCACGGCGTCTTTGCCCGTCTTGACGGCATCTTTGGACGCAAACTGAGCGTATAGCTGGACAATCTCCTCGTACTTCTTAATGTAGTCCTGGTCGGCAGCGAGAGCGGCGGGGTCTTGGTGGGCGCATAGTGCCTCGAAGGTCGGGACTGACTCCTCGACCATGGCCAAGTTGTTCGAGTTGAGGATGGTGCGCAGGATTTGCAGGACAGAGCCAGCGTAGAGCGGGAGGTCGCGCGGGCACTTTTCAATCACCGTCTTGACAATCTGCAGTGTGACTTGGACATTGCCAGTGCGGACTTTCCACACATCCTTGGTGGCCTTCTTGTCGAGGAAGTCGACAACCTTCTGGAGCTTGCTGCGGCGTGTGCTCGCATAGTAGAGCAGGTAGCTCAATTCGCTCGAATTGGCCTTGGCGTCTGCATTGTTCTTCAGGACCTTGGGGTAGCACTTGAGGACCAGGACTTGGTGCTTTGGGCGGCACGCCTGACGTGCGGCGTTCATTGAGCCTCAGGCGCACGAGGGCGAGGTTGCTGGCTCGAGGCGACGTGTTGGGTGTGCAGCGAAGGAGGCGCGGAACACGGCGGCGGTGGCGGTGGTGGTGGTGATGATGATGACGACGGAGGACGGAGAACGGAGGTCGCGGGGAGGGGCGGTTGTTTAGGGATATTGGGCCTCGCTCGACTGGATGGCGCGCGTAAGGGGAGTGGAGGTCTAGGGCGAGAGCATTGTCTGACACCAGACAGGACACGACAGGACGAGACTGGTAGGGGGTCACTGGTGGGCATCCATCTGAAGCACTGCACACGGCCGCAAAGGGAGACGAGGGCGTCGGGGACTTTAGTTGGGTGTGCGAGTAGTCCAGGGCAGGGCCTGGCCTGGGTTGTGGCTCGGGATGCGCCCCGGCCGTTTCTGTTTCTGTTTCCCTGGCCGAAGCTCCCTTGGACTAGTCAGCCCTAAGCACTGCGCCAAGCAACACCTGCCACTGCTGAAACCCTTTCTTGTTGTACACGTATCTCTTCTGTCCATCTATCGACGCACCACGTCGCCAGTCTTACTCATACAATACAATACAATACACTGCACTGCACTCCTAACCCCGCTCTGCCCCCCCTTCACCGCCTGCTGCCTCGTCCTAGCCATCGATGTTTGCGCTCCGGCGACGGCCTGTCCTCTTGCTTGTTGTGCCTGTACCTGGGCCTGAACTCACCATCATCCTCATTCCCATCCTCCTCCACTACCCCCTTGTCCTCTGCTCTTTGTTTCTTGTCTACATCGGGCTGCAGGAACCTATACGTCTCCGCGTCCTTGGCCAGATGCTTCTTCTCCTCAGCCCCATATGTGACATCTCCACCCTTGCTATATTTTGCCCTTGCCTTTGATCTCGGCATGCCCGTGTTGGGCGAGTAATTCACGTTTCCACCCTCGGCCAATAGAAGTCGCATTCGCTGTGGCAGCATCTCCTGCACTCCCTTCCTAATTGAATTTATCACGCCTTTCTGAACCTTCTCAAATCGCCCATCCAGGTCTTGGTTGGATCCAGTCGTTGGTTTGGCCATGACCCACTGGCACACCCGCCCATCGCTGACTGGGTTGATGAGAAACTGGGTTCCTTCGGGCATCTCTTTTAGGATGAAATCCGGGCGCAAGTGCGGGAAGTGGGCATGCATCCACGGCCAGACGGCCGGGTCGCCGGGCATGAGTCTGTTTTCTTTGGATACACTGCCCTGTAATCGAATACGCATCTCGACAGGCGAGCCTAAGTTGATAAATTGATAGGCCCGGTCCATGCACAGCCGGAAATGGGAGACTGGACTCGACTCATTGAAAATAATGTTCTTGAGTCCTCCAAGTTGTCGTCCTTTCTGGGGGCTGTCCAATGAAATCCGGTGCGAGCCCGCCTCCGCAAACGAGAAGTTCTTATATTCATTCAAGACCTCTTCCTGTTCCCCAGCCATAAACTTCTTTGCCATGCCCTTTTTCAATTCCTTCATGCAGTAAAGCATATGCCCTGGCTTGACATAATTATCGTATGCATCTTGCAACGACACGTCCTCCGCTATCAGTTTATACTTGGAATGGTGCTTATCCGTCTCAAAGAGGTTGATGCGGTTCGGTGATGCACTTGGAGGCTCTAGCTCATACCATGAGAAAGTCAAGGATTTGTGCTGTCCCAACAGTGTCTTAGATCTGGCCGTCTTGTAGAGATTCATACCCCGACGCTGCGTGAGGCATTGCAGAGGAGCGCCACTGGGAGTCGGCCGTGAGCATTGTGGGCGATATAACGCTCCGAGAGCGTGAACCGGAATGCGAATTGGCGGTAGTAGGATTGAGCGAAACTCGACGAGCGACGTTCGCGTTGCTGGACGCATTGTGTTTGCGACTGAAGATTGTGCAACTCAATCGCGCGGAAATCGCATTTCATGACTCGTGTTTCACCCAGGTCACGTGTCTTATGACGTCGTGACATGAACAATCACGGGGTATGTACATCACAATACTACTGCTATAACTTCAGGCTGTGGGCAACATATATGGACATATATAGCACTAGAGCTTACAAAGAAAATAATTTTACATTTCCCCATCAAGTGAACATAAACCTTGGACATGTGGTACCAGGCTCGCTGCTCTTCCGACATTGCATGTCTTGCACCGGAGAAAAGACATCCTCCCAATCAATGCCCAGACTAAAAGTATCATACGGCTGGTCATCATACACCAGTTGCGTAAAGTCTACAATAGGCTCAGGTATGTACTGTGCAGTGTCTTGGAGCGTCATCGGGACAAGAATATGGTCTTGGGAACCTAGTACCGGCGCCACTGGTATCAAATCACTCTGGAATGGTGGTGGGCTGGGCGCAGATGCAGGCGTGGCCTGGTGAGAACTGCCTATAGAGCTAGCACTAGCACGTCGACCGGTATTGAAGTCAGCAGTGTGAGGCGGATGAGACTGGTTTAGTAGATCTTCTTCGCAACGACGGATAATTTGAGCGACACGCTGTAGAAGTTGCTGTTCGACTGGACTAGGCATCTGTTCAGCTTCCATGTGCAGCTCCTCTTGCACGCGACGAAGCAGATCTCTGCGGAATCTTCGTGAGTCTTCACTTGGCGATTCGCAGTCATAAACTTTTTTTCATGTCAGTACGTCAGGCGGAAATTTGAATAAAGGAAGTGACATACATGGACTGGGAATGTCCGCAGTCGGAACCCCTGGAAAAAGAATATGATAAACATCTCTCCACTTGTCTTCTTCTAGCCTCAGTCCAGTGGTACGTTTTCTCAGCGTCCAGATTGTTTCCCTATCAATGCCGTCAATTTGTTGGGTGGACGATCTCTCACATTGCTGCAACCGCACATGATTCAGTTGCTCCTTGTCTGACTTAAATTTTGCGTAGCAGATTGGACAGAAGATTGGCTGAGCATGTGACCGATATAAATGCTCCTTCATCCTATGGACAGTCGTCCAACCAGGGCCGGGACAAGTACGCCGATTGCGGTATCGATTCGGATCATGCTTGTAGAACGGACATGCGAACCGCGCACCCATATCTGATTCATCCAAGGTTACGATCGACCCCCGCCGCCTCTTATTTGGTCTGTCCTCGTCATCATCCTCTGGCGGCGGACTACCGTCCTGGCGTGTTTTTCTCTTCGATCCGGAGCTCGACGATGTTTTGCGGCTGTGTCCTGTGGAAGTAGAGATTCCAGACTGAGAGCTTGGGGTGTTGTTTCCCGCACACTGTTTGTAAGCTGCATGTCGTAGGCTAATCTCAACCTTCCTGATGATCAAGTCGATGACCTTGAGAATAGACCTCGGTTTTTGAGCGATGGAAGGCCCATTTCTATACTCATCTTCATCGTCACTGACATCCGTGCTTGTGTACATGTCGCAGCTACTGGTTGAAGATATTGAAACGATGGATAGTGCCCTCTGCTCCGGTCGATTGCGTGACGGGAGATTGTCGTTCACCCATCTCTCTATATCTTCATCTTGAGAAGCTGTCTGGGTTTGCAGAATCTCCGCAGGTCCGTCGCTATAGATAATCTCTAACTCGGGGGACCAAGGAAAGCTTCGCGGAATACCGCGGTCCGGGATAAATGTTGCGGGGTGACTTGAGATTCCCCGGTCCGAACTAGCTTTTGCATCATCACTTAAGATGGTTCCCCGTCCAAAGCGCTTTATGGTATCGAAGTTGAGGTGTGTCTGAAAAGAGGTGGGTTTAGAGTTAAGCAGGATACTTGGCACGCGTGGAAATGTCGAGGGAAGTAGGTCTGCTGTGGTGTTAATGATCAAGGCTCTGAGAGATGTACAGACAAGGCGTACGTACCCTGCTCTACCACGGCTATTTCCAAGGGCGAGAGCGGATCCGGATCGCTGTTATAGCCAGAATCTCGGGTTCTCGAAGAGGAAAGCGAGTCCCTTCTTTGGACATGCTTACTCATGCTCAGCTTGGGCAATCTGGTGTGCGAGTTTGTGCACGACGGCATGGTCTCCATTGCGCAGAGATAGCGGTAGCGTTGGACGAGATTGCTCTGAGTCGCAAACTCGGACAGCCAGCATATATGAGAGGCGTCAGCTTGGTCAAGAAATTCATGACGGAATTGGCAATTGCCTAGACGGCTCTCATAAGCGTATGGACCCCATTGCGCGAATGCGCAAAACGTGGGATCAGCGTAGCAGACGCCTCCCGCCGACCCGTCATCAGCCGAACGCCAGGCCTGCACACCAATCAACCACGCAGTATCGATTCTGCCTCGGCTGCATGGACAGCGCAGAATGAGCAATAAGGCGTTGGGTGGCTGTGTAGCATTGATGAGCAAGGTGCTTGTGATACTGGTGGATGACACCTGTAGGCCATTCGAAGCGGGAATGGCGCCACGACTAGCAGCAAAAGAAACAGCCGTGGGGCTAGAACATGGCAAGGCAACCATTTAGGTTCACCTTGTTCATCCAGCTTTACACCGGAATAAATCACACCACCTGCAAAACTCGTCCTACACAAGAGCTGCTCTTTCACGTCATCTTAATTGGCCATAGTCATGCTCCTTGACAGCAGTATTGCTGTTAAGAAAAAGATGGGCAGTACATCTGTAAAAGCAAGATTCCATGATGTCCAGTCCTCCACAACGCCACACCCAAACCTAGTCTCGAATCACATGCCCAGTATCCCATAGCTAAACCGTCCTTCGGAGAACCGACATCGACACCTCTGTTCCCTTGTTTAGAGGCGTTCTAGATATCATCATCATTATCATCATCACCGCCATCACCACCTCGCCACTACGTCTTCAGCTGCTTTTTAAACAACGGCTTCCGATAATTCTCAAGTCCAGCCGTGTTCTCAAACCCCACAAAAGGGGAAGGATAGTCATTCTTCATAAGCCTTGCATCCTTGGCCTGAATAGTCACTCCCTCGCGTTTAGCAGTCTCGTATAACCTGCCATGTACACAAGCACTATGTACCTCCATTACCCCCATCTTCTCGAACATCTTGCTGTAGATGGCCTTAAGACGCGTGACTTCATCTCTTTGTCTGCAGTACTTGAAGCCGTAGTCGCGCCGAAGGCTAGCTGGTGGGTTCGCGTTATTGGTATCGTGGATGAATTGCTTCAGACGCCATACCGTGGGACGCTGCTCGGCTGGCGTGGTGAGGAATGTTTCCAGGTGGGGGGAAAGTTCGCGGAAGTTGCCATATCCCTTTGTGTCGAATAGAGTTGCTAGATTACACGTCTCTAGAGTGTGCTGGGGCTCGCGGAAGCTGTCTGGACTGTCTGTTTCCTGGATGAGGACGGCGTAGAGACCTGCAAGTCGTCGCTCGTCTTCTTCAGTCGTAGTGCAGACAAACCCAAAGGAGTACCAGGCGCTTTCGTGTTTTGGAAGCAGGTGGCCACGTGAAGCGGTTTGGATGAGTAGGGCGACTTCTTGCTTCGTTCTAGGCTCGGGCTTGCGCGTTGCTGTCACAGATTCTGTTCGCAGCTTAAGAGGCAACGACGGGGTCCGGCCGCCATGTTGTTGTAAATGTATAGCCTCTTCGAGTTTGCGTGATGGCTGTTGAGTGCGACCCGCAGACGACAATGATCCGTTGCTCTCCGCAGCGTTCTCAAAAGCCTGCGACTTACTGGCAACTGAGACAAGAGTGCTATACGCCTCTCTAGGAAAGCCTAGTTTGCCGGTGAGCACAAACAGCTCATCTGCAAACGAGGCATCCCTGATGAGGCCGTTCAACCGCTCTTGAAGTTCCGTCTCCGTCATCATGCCAAATGCCAGCATAATCAGTTTATTCATGTCTTTCATCACCTCGGTGTACGCTTGGACATCATGGAAGAGATGAATAATCTGTTTGCCAAGTGTGTGATCGAACTCGCAGTGATCATTGTCAATACCAAAGCCGAACATCTGGGTGACCAAGTCGGCAAGGATGCTCTGATGGGCTTTGAAGCTGCGCTGAAGGCGGTAGATAATAGCGTTTATCTCATCGTATGAAAAGACTAGAATCGTATCCCACAGGTAATCCGTTAAGTTTTGAAGCGCAGAGTCTGTTCGTGTCAGTGACAAGACAAGCGGGTAGGGAACAGAACGGTCGTACGTACCTGTGGGGTGAGCTGCAATCGCCGCGCATATCTTCTCAATTTCTTTGAGTCCCTCTTCTTTTCCGATGCGTGTATGCGGCTTTCGCAGAAGATATCGCTCTCTGAGGCGCTCTAGGATAGACGACACCTCAATTGAATTCATCTTGGTCGAATCCGCTTAGTTGTCTAGCCGGGTCGTGTAAGTACTTCTCTGATCTGTCTCGTTGATCAAGTCGTAGCGATCAGTTGAAGTAGTCCCTCCCGCAGGCACCTTCTCGTAGTGAACCCAAACCCCCTCCAACCACTTCGTATCCTACACCCTCAGTCAGTAAATCCCACATCAACCAAACCCATCTTACCGCATACTCACCGCCCAAATCACAACCTCAGCCACCCAACCAACAGCCTCCTACCAACGAAACCGTACCCACGTTCAGAATTCGATGTCGCGGTCAGGCAGGAAAGAGATCAGGTTCGCCTTGATCAAGTCGTTGCACTCGGTGTACGGAGGGAGGAGAGAGAAACAACTCAAATCGCGCCCTGATGTAGTAAGTATCAACCAACCCGTACCCACGTCCAGAATTCAGTGTCGCAGTCAGGCAAGAAAGAGATCCAAGTCCACCTCGATCGCGTCGTTACCCCCGTTACCCTCGTCGTACGGAAAGAGAGACACAACTCCAATCGCGCCCTAATACAGTAACTAACCTATAGTACCGACGACGGGAGTGCGCTAGCGGCTCCGCCTTCACCTTCGTTTGCACCGGTCTGTGCTATTACTCGCTGAGAGAGAGAGAGCGAGAGGCAGACGATGTGATTTGCGGGGGAATTTCATGGCTGCAAACGGGGTGAGGGCGGGGTCAAACAAGCGGTAGTCGAGTTGGGTCAGGATTGGAACGAGGGTTTTCGAGGGAAATAGTGGCAGTGAGGGCGGGAGCGGGAGGTGGAGAGTAGCGGAAGTGGTTGTGCTTATGAGGGAGGGGTGAGAGAGGTCTGAATGAAAATCAGGCTGTATCAAGAGATGAAGTGAGATTAAGAGATGGCATGAGGCTGAAAATCGTGACATGATACGTGAAGATGAGAGATCTTTTTTTTCTCTTTGACATCTTCCCTAGACGCCCTGGTATAGGGAAAATATTCATGAATACAATCACAAACAATAAGACATGTACAGCCACTCGTGCTTTGAAATTACTTTCTTGTACTGCATCTTTTCTTTCAAATCCAAATGACAATACATCGCGGACATATTTCTTACATTTGTCTCACCCACCAAACCCAAATACCTCCGCTGTACTCAACATACTCATCCTCGTACCCCAAAGCGCAATGGCAATGCTGACAATATCCACGACAAGCAACACGGCGGCGCCAACCATGAATCTCGGGTTGAAGATGCGGTACAGCATCAAATGTCTCCTAAGGTGGCCTGCCCACATGGTCGTTGCCAGATTGATTGTAGCATAGAAGAGAATGTGGGTAGCCACAGCCTTCGCCACGACACTCAGCAAACCCTTCTTCTGCGGCTTAACCTTCCACAAAACAAGGGCGGGGACAGCGACTGCGCACAGGATCTGGGCACCAAAGGTGTTAAGAATGACAAGAATGGGTGTCCATGGGTAGCGAATCTTAGCAAGTGGGATAAAGGCCGATTCCCACTGGATGCTTGAGAGCGTGGCTTGATGGCCTGTTTTGAAGAAGTGGAAAGATCCAAGAAGGCCTAGGACAACGGGGCCGATTGGGGACTGGCGCAAGTTGTTCGTGTCCATTATCTCGAAAAGGGAGAAGAGCTGCCAGACTAAGATACCAATGGCACCAGCTCCCATTGGCTTCTGGAGGAGGGTAATGGCAAGATACCAGATGGTGATGAGAAGGGCATAGCGCGAGCCCTCAACATTTGCAAATCCGAGAACAGTGACCGCCTCTTTCGGTGCACCATTCGCATCCTTGCTGTCTTTGTCGATGATGACATTGAGGAGAGGCTTCGACCAGTTGTAGATCGAGTACCCAAACGCCATGCTGATGGCCAGTACAATTTGTGCTAGGAAGCGCTTCGTGATGCGGATGACGTTCACCCAGTCAGGTAGCCACTCGCCATCGTCTGCGGCATCTAGAGCCCAATAAGCTGCCGAAAGCATCAGCCCAAAGCGCAATGCTAGCCCTATCCAAAGAGTTGCGTTGTGCTGATAGCTCTTTGTGCCCTCGTAGTAGCTCTTGATAAAAGTAGGAATGAGAATAGCGACAGTGACAGGAATGAGAAGCTGCCATGGTGCAGAAGTAGTGGACAACGCAGAAGCATAGTACGTGGACTTGCAGTAGGGCATTTGCTCTTCTCTGCAAAGCCTTGAGAAACTGGCGACTCTTAGCAGGGCGGTGAAGAGAATAGAATGGTAGGCGCCCAATGTTCGGTCTGCAAGGCGCCTTTGGCGGAGTGAGGAGATGAGTGCAAGAACGCCAAATGTCGTCAAAAAGTGGAGCAAGATTTCGTCTTCCCAGATTGTGAACGAGTTGGCTGCAAAGCCGGCAGAGAGTGCAAAGGTGAATACAACGCTTGCCCAGCCCCAGATGGTGTTGGGCATAAGAGGCATCATGCGGTAGCTAAGGACATAGAATGTAGATGCGCAGCCAATGATTCCAGAGAGCGCAGAAGAGAGGACAACCACATGCGATCTTGCATCCTCGGGCATGAAGACGGTGATACCAACACCGACGATACCTCCCAAGGCCAGACCAATGGCGCCTCGAGTGAAAAAGACGGGTGTAACCTCGGTACGGTCTCCATGCAGAATTCTAGCGTAGAGCGCGAGAACGATCAGACTAGACGCTAGGATCGTAACACCACTTATCATTCTTGGAATGTCGAACCTGGCCCAAAGGTCCCGACAAAGACTGAGGGTGTCGTGTTGGTAAGCAGAGAAGGCGTCGTAGACTTGGCGCATTTGCGCACTATTCGCCTTAGACTTTCCGAGTAAGTTCCATGCGTCATTTGCACTCGTCCATAGAGAGAGCGAGGTAGCTCTGGCACTATCAGGAATACCTCGCGCCTGTGCGTATTCATGCTGGTATTTGTGGATCTGTGCAGCGGTCATGCGGTTGACAGCTGCGAGGTTCGCGAAGTTGTCTCCTTTCTTTCCAATGAAAGCTTCCTCAATCGGCTTGCCAAGGTTGTTGAATGGTATTGGCATACCTAGCAAGAGCGAAAGAGTTGGAACAAGGTCAATCTGGCCGACCGGCCGGACATGAGCGTTGCGCGGAGGAGTGACGTATGAAGGGTCGCTACGTCCAAAGATACCCTTTTTGGAGTACATCCAGAGAGCAGCCTGAATTTCATCATCCGACTCTCCTCCGTGATCTCCCTTTGCATCCATGCCATGGTCACCCATGACTACCAAAAGCGTATCATCGTCAATCTCATTGATCATGCGACGGAAGACATTGTCCATTTCATTCAGTTTCGCAGTCATAGCGGGGTGGTCGGGACCGTAACGATGTCCAGCATGGTCTACGCCCAGGTAGTGGCCGAAAATGACATCCCACTTGCTTGCATTCTCAGCCTTTAGCAGTGGGAAGATGTGCTCGGTGACGCCGTTGTCTACTGTATGTAGATCCCAGACATTGAACGAATCGTACGCGTGCGTGAGATTTGGCTCAAAATAGTCGGCGAAAAGTGCATGCCACGTGTCGTCTCCAAGATGCACCAACCTCTTGCTTGCGTTCTTCAACTGACCAACAATATTGTCTTCATGAATTGCCTGACCTGCAAAGTTGCTTCCCACATCGATAAAAGTTGGTAATGTGCCCGTTGTGAGCCCCTTTAATCTCTGCATCGTGGCCGTTGGCGGATCCGCGATGAAGGGAAGGAGAAAGGCATTCTCAGGCTGATTCATAGCCGTCTCGTACAGGACAGGAAACGCATTATGGAAGTGGCGTGGAGCAACTGGCGGCCACTCAGAGGGGTCCACAGCAGCATCAACCAGATTGGCAGGTTCGAATTGAGCCTTGTAAGGCACGGTAAAATCATATCTGAGCGCATCGACAATGATCACAACCGCCTTTTCAAAGGTCTTGGGGTGCCAGCATCCCTTCTCTGGATTGCCCGTAGTATACGAGTTTGCTGCGTCGATAGGAGGCAACGCACATTCCGACTTGTGGTCGAGAACCAATCGCGTAAGGAGGAAACCGCTCGTGAATAGGTATATACCGAAAACGTGAAGTACACTAGCGCGCGTCAGATAGATTCGCAATACGCGCTCTCTCCAAGCCTCAGTGGAGCTGAACCGAACTGCACTTACAGCATGAAACAAAAGAAAGCCACGAGGATACCGTGCGAGGCCTTGAAGTGTACCTGACTAAGCTTTTTCACCTTGTCTGGATCATGCACCATAGTCCGCGGAGGCTGTGCCGCTTGTTGTTGTTGCTGCTGCTGCTGCTTTTGCGGTGCATGCTGTTGACCTTTTGGAGTGCTTTTCTGACCGGTGATCTCGGACAGCGGAGTAAACACCTCACGGTTCGCCATGGCGACGGAAGAGAGGAGGCCAATCGGCGAATACTAAATGCCAATCGAAATCTGAAGGAAATTGAGATGGCTCAATGGGCCTCAAGGAGCGACAGAATCCATGAGAAGAAAGTTGTTGCGGAGTTTACGCGAGTGAGGGTTTGTTGCGGACATGCTAGTAGAGTGGATCG